CTTTGGAAGTGCTCGGTCCAACAATCCAATATTTGCAATTCCTTCATCAGAAGTATTTTTGCATCAGAGCTGAGGAGCGATGCGGCTCCCTTGATGCACGGGTCGCAGATGGCCTAGATGGATTCTAAGAAGGTCTGCGTTTTTTTGCGTTCTGTGCACCCTTGGATTTCATCGGCCTTGCGAGCCATCCTGCATCTCCCGCAGCCATTGCTGCACAATGCGACAACACCTGAACAAGACCGCTTTGCTGGCGTCGGGCTGATTTCTTGCAGTCGGTTCTTCTCAGCGAGTATATTGCTGATATATATGGCGTCGTCAAAACAGTCCTGGTGTTCACGAAGTGCGCCTCCGATGACGTCCTAGGTGGTGAAGTAGGTGAATTTCTTTAGTTGACACTATCCATCTCCATCATGAACTTACCATCTGGATTTCGTAGCTCTTCCAGTGTTGAACCAATTGGTTACTGAAATTAAAGCGCAGAACATACAACTTCTACAGAACTGTAGTTAACTCATCTGGTGGTCGCATGAAATTGTGTCTCCTGTGAGGCTGCTGTCAGAACCTCACTTTGGAGGTGACGAAGTGATTATTCGTCCAGCCACCGGCCTCGCAGATAGCCTTTGTCACCAACACGTCCTGTTCATGTCGCCTCCGGACGAAAACGTAGTCCCGCAGCTGCCAACAACGCAATCGGGGTACACCCACGTTGCCCCTCCTGTGTTAGGTGTTTTTCAACAGAAGGCGGTTCTCCGCAGAAGAAGGAGGCCGTTATCTTCGCAGCCGCCAAGACTAAGGGGATCCGGCACTCTCTTCTAGGCGGCGTGGTCTCTCCCTATGTGGGCGTTGAAGTCGCTAAGGACAGCCATTTTTTCTGCCTTCGACAGAAACGCCAATAGGGCGTGCAGGTCCTCGTAGCATGTGTTCTTCGCCTCGTCGGAGTTGATCAGTGGGAGGCGTAGATGCTGACGATGGTGGCAAATTCGGTTACCCAAAGAGGTAAGCACAGGTTCATCAAGCTGTTGTTGCTATCCTGTGACAGA